AGTGCTCAAACATGTGGCAAGGCCTAGCTAGTCAGATAAGTCAAGTTCAGCCTGGGGACAGGGTAATTCTTAAGCTTCTTCATATATATTCACAAATTACTTCTTAGAATAATTACAATGAAGGATAATATATCCTTATATAAAAGTAGAGGAGATAGCCTAAGGCCAGGTGTGCTGTTCTTACTGCTTGAGGGGAAAAAAAATTTTTTTTAGAAAAGCCATTAATGTAGTTAGAGAATGAACAGTCCATTTTGACTGCTGACCAGGAATACTTAAGGAATTAATGGGAAATAAACTTGGAAAAGTAGATTAGACCAGGCTTAACAGTTTCTACCCAATTTAGTGGGTATTGAGAAGCCTTTATATGTGTTCATTTTCTCCTCTTAATACCATGAAGGAAACAGTATCACCTCCATTCCAGGAAATGTGCCCCTGGTCGTTATTCAAATGCAGGCAGTTTGCTTCCAAAGTTGCCATAGTTGCTTGAGGAAAGATACAGCAACTTGCTTCTGTAAAAGATTACAGCTTTGAAAACTCTGTAAGACTGTTCTACTCTGTCCTACAGGTTAACTATAAATACAGAAACTGTCTCAAGCATGTTGATTTTAAAAAGCCTATTGTCAGTTACCCACAGGGAATAGAAACAGAATACAAGATCTGTAAGGCAAGGGAAAGGGAAGTACATGGTGGTTCCCTGGAGAGAGCAAAACCTCAATTTCCTCATTTCCGAAATGAATATCATGTGCTAAATGCTCTTGTGTTTTAGAAAATATTTAAGATACAAAGGATTCATCACTTAATGGTTATTTTTATTTTAAAATTATTATTGTTGATAATCTATTGAAAAGATATGTAGTAAACTTGGATACTGTTCCACTCAAAGCTATTGAATTTTCTATTTTCAATTTTAACAGAGAAATAGACTATATAATTAATATAATAATAATAATTAATATATTTTAATAACTCATATATCTTTATTCTTTTGAAAATATATTCCATTCTCATTTAAAAATTTCACTTCAACAATTTCTTTTTTTGTTTGTGTGTGTATAACTAAAATTATTATGTCATAAATACTCGTGTTGTTTTTGTTGAGTACCATAGAGTCAGAACCAACCCATAGCTGACCACTCAGTGGGTTGTCAGAGGCAGTTACTCTCTCAGGAGGAGATTGCCCATCCTTCTCCAGCGGAACAGCTGGTGGCCTCAAGCTGCGTGCCTTCAGGATTGCAGCGCAGCTTCTTGCCACTAGAAAAAAAAAATCATTTTGACCCAACTTTATAAACTAATATTTAAGGATTATATGGGCTAAATCATTTAACCAAAGTCAAATCTAACTAAGGATAGAGTTAACAAATGAAGGGGAAAGATTTATTTTGAGTAGACTTTCTATTCATTGGTGTTTTTATGATAATGTTGACTCACAAGAAATAAAAGTAATACATTTCTATCCTGTTACAATGTTGGTGAATAAGAAATAAAAATAATGTTCTGTTTTCCAGAGCAAAAAAAAAAAATATGTTAGACCATTTTTGCTTAAAGATTTATGATCCTTCTCAAAAGATCTAGTTTTGCTGTAAATGACATGAAAAAAAAAGTCTACATTGTGGACTGATATAAAACAGATGTGAATTCAAATCTGAATTCGACTACATTTATTTGTAGCATTTAGAAAACTACTTAGCCGAGTTGAGTCACAGTTTTCTCAATTGTAAAGCTCCAAGTAATTACTAAAAAAAAATTTATGAACACCAAGAAAGAGAATATATATGGAATTATCTATCCCTTGTCTATCAAGGTACGTAATGAGTATTACTATATTGAGTATTTATTTTATACTGACACATAAATTTGATGTAAGATATGTTTATCATTTCCCAATTGTCACGTTAATGATAAAATTTATTGAGTTTGAATTGGAATGTAGAACATTAGTCTTTTTATGGTGTGATAAAAAGCTCACAAAATGAACTTTAATGAGTGCATAATTGCAGACTTTTATTATAGAAATTAATTATTAGTCTGCATGGTATGAACTCATTCAAACTTTGTCAGTAAAATATTTTCTATATGCTAAATAATCACAAAATTATACCTACTGACTCTAGTGTTACTTCCCAGTCCAGTTATCATCTCTGATTCATTTACTCATTGTAGAATAAATCTTAACTAAATTACACGACACATTTTAAATTACACCACAGATTTTACTTTGTACATGATTCTATCTCTAGGTAAGAGGTGAAGTTGTTTGTTTGTTTGTTTGCAAATAAGGAAGGATTCCAAAAAGTCCCCTGGTCATTTTAGTCCTTTTAGTCCCCTCAATACTGACCTCTCTCTCTCTCCTTCTTCATCAAAGCATATACACCTCAAAATACATGATTGATGAATAAAGATAAAAGAAACAAACAAAAAGCCCTCAAATCTACCTCCATTAAGTCGATTCCAACTCATAGCAACTCCAAAGGACAGATGGATTTCCAAGCCGGTAGATCTTTATTGAAGCAGCTGGCCACATCTTTCTCCCACAGAGTGCTTAGAACCCGACCAACTAACCATGTAAGTACTGCGCCTCCTAAGCTTCTTATTCAATGAGAGATAAAATGTAATGGCTCCAAATGGCATTTACACCATAACTGATAATAAGGTAACTGACTAGACCGAAAAGAACGGGCTTCTAGCAGTGAATTTCCAGCATCTGAAAAGCAGTAAGAAAGAATATTTTCAATCATGGGAGCCTTCATATTGCTCCCCTATCCAAACTCATAGGGAACCATCAGAACTTAAAACAGATGCCTCTAAAACTCCCTTTAATGATTTCATACCACAGATATAAATAAGGCTTACTGATTAGAATGAGCAAAGGTGTCTTAGGCTGGTTGCCCCACCACCATCACCATAACTGGTACCAAGCCATTACCTTTCCTGGGATTCTCAGTCTGTGTTCTGGGAAGTTATGAAGCCATGACTACTATTAATAGTGCCCTTGATGCTAACTACGCATTCATGTTTAGGGTGAGGTGGAAATCTGTCACCACTTACACTTACACTTACACTTACAGCTGAGAAGATTGTTGCAGAAATAATAAAGAAATTAATAATAAAGAAGATTGTTGCCAGTAGCACAGAGGAGAATCACAACAACGTACACTTTGAGCTCAGAAAGCAAGTCTTCCCGTGGCTGAACAAATGTCTGTCAAACACGTCCCACTAGAACCTCTCCCGCGAGGTCTGCAGAGTTTTAAGCATAGATTTCCCGTTGGTCGACTCAGTTACACCCGACCCAACACCCTCACTCAAAGGAAGCAAAATCAGGGAGAGATTGCTGAACCTTGTCAGGTAACTTACCTGAGATCCATATCTCCATCCACCCATAAGGTGAAAATGTTAGAGATGGTACCCCCTGGACAGCATCCCATAATGAGAACAGCCACAGCTTGGATTGACTTCAGAGAGAAACAGATGGCCAGGAGGTAGGCTGTGAGAGGCATGAGCCCAAACTGGCAGAGAAGTCCCACTGCAATGCCCCAGGGTCTCCTGATGTGCGAGCATAGCTTTCGGATATCCACAGAACATCCCAAAGAGAATGTGATCAGGCCCACCATCAAGACCGACACCACTGTGAAAACCAGTTCCAGGTTCCCATGTTCCTCCAGCCCCCTTTGCAACTCCTCCTCCGAACTGTTGGCAGGACAGGCTGTACTGCTGGAACAATTCGTTGTCATCTCCTCATCTCCTTAAGACAGCATCACAAATGAATATCTGCAGTTGACGGTCGAGCAGGTCTATCCTGCCACATTTTGTAACAAAGAGACACGTGGAGAAGCATCTCAATGGCTATTGGTCAGCCGGGTGATTCCTTTGTAATCTGATCAATTAATTCATGAGTAACATTATGAAAGTAATTATCATGATCCCTAAACTTATAATAAACTCTGGTAAGTAAGGCTTTCTACTTCACCCCTGAGTATTCAAATGAAATGAGACAAACAAACTTGCGGAGCGGAGTCACTCGGCTATGTCGTCAGCATCACATTATGTTCCAGGAAATGAGATTGAAAGCCAAAATACCATTTCTCTGAATTCAGTGGGGATTTCAGAGAGCCAGGATGCGGGACTTTGCAGAGAAAAAGGCTAAGTCTGGAAAAAACAGGTGATTAAACTAGAGCCACACCTCTCAGCAGTAGCAAAGCATTTCTGTTGGAAACAGTCAAACAAAAGGAAACCAGTTAAGGAAATGTTAGGAGGGACAAGTTGTCATTTCAAGACAGCTTTGGAGTTAGTCCCACGGTTTGTCTTCTTTCAATTTCTATTAGAATTTGTAGCCAGTAATTAAACACGTGCACGAATAATGTAGTATTAAGTGCATGATTGTGTCTCATGAAACATGTGAAAACTCATTTCACATCTTAAATATTTCAAAGAAGCTCTCACTTTCTTTCAGAGACTAGCGTCTTCTTTAAGATGCTCCACCCCTGAGACTTCTGGCAAAGGCTCAGAATCCCACAAGGAAGTGAAGTCAAGAGCTTGGTCTAGTGTGTCTGGAGGCAGGGTCTGGATCAGCCTTTACCCACAAAGCCCGCAGGGGCCCTGGTGCATTTCTAGCTAGACAACTTTGACGAAACCAAACAAGGAAAACGTGGTTCCATGAAACTAAACCTCCAAAAGACAAGAACCACGCCCTTTCCCACAGAGCTGGTGACAAGGCACACTTTGTGAATGCCTTTCTACCTGTCTTAAAAGGAATTCTACACATGCATTGTTTGTTTTGGGGTTAGCCAATTCTTTTCCATGACAAAATGCTCTGGGCATGTTTAACATATAAAACCTCAAGTGGAATACAAATGTAAAATAAAATTTAACTATTTGAATAAGAATAAACTTGCTTAAGCAAACATACCCTAGAAGTTTGCTGGAGGTCAGCAGAGGTTAGCAAAATGGCCTGTGGCTGCCAGCTCTTATCTTCCAACTGAGAAAAACACAGCATTTGCAACAAACTTTGAGGTGCTGTCAGAAGATATTCTAAGACTATCTACATTGCATTTATTGTAAGGCCTAGTGGAGAATTTGGTAGTAAGTCAAGAAATTCAAGTACTCCCTGTCTGAGTAATGCAGAGATGTGGACAGGGTGCAGAGGAATGAAAAAGGGAGACAACTAACCTTTTCTGAGCAGGATAGGTGTTAGAGTGATAGAGACATGATAGGTGTTTTATACATAAGCTATAGTTCCTAAGAAAACAGAAGTTTTATTTACTCATTTAATATACTGCTTCTCTGGATAGTGTCTGGTGAGAGTCAGCATATGATTTGTTATGTGAATTTTCACTGACAATAAAAAAAATTAGATGCACACTCATGTTTATCGAGGCTTTGTTCACAATAGCAAGGAGTTGGAAACAACCTAAGTGCCCATCAACAAACGAATGGATGGAGAAGCTGTGGTATATTCACGCAATGGAATACTATGCTGCATTGAAAAACAAGGAACTCATGCAATATTATTCGAAATGGGTGACCCTGGAGGACATTATGCTGAGTGAAGTATCTGAGCCACAAAAGGACAATTGCTACATGGTGCCACTGTTGTAAAACAGGACTGACCTCGGGGTTGGGGGGAGACTGAGAAAGATGGGTTCAACAATGTGTACTGCATTGAAACAGATGAGGGAGAAAACTGTTTAAAAGGGATATGTGATTAGGTATTTTTGTCATGACAGGAGCCAGAGTGAAGGCTGCATAGTGGAGTGGACCTGGGGGAGAGATTGTTTAACAATGAAAGAATTTTTCTTTTACTTTTCCAAGAGGGGAGTGTAATGGGGAACGGGTTGGAAGGAAAGAAAAGGGCAACAATGAATTAATGGAAATCCAGTCTCTGTAAATTTTCATTGAAATTAATCATAAAAATTTTTTTTTTCAAAATTAGAAGTTCAGGGCAGTACACCTTCTGTATTCCAGGAAGTCATCTGAATGGCCCTTCAAACGATGGATATTTAGGCTCATTATACACCTCCATTCCTAAGGCAATGTGACAGGAACATTTGGATTTGGATTTGCTTGCTACTCAATAGTTGATCAATAAGGAGGCTCAGCTCAGCTCAGTTCATTTCTGTCAAGTCAGAACCAATTTGTAACTGACGCTTCACTGAGTTTCTAAGGTTGTAAACCATAAGGGAAGATACTGACCATCTTGGAGCCACTAGTGGATTTGAACCTCTGGAGTTACATGACCACTGATTGGGTTATCAGCACAACTCCATATGGACTAAACCACCAGACCTCTCCTAGCTGTGGCCTCTAGGAGCCTGGGGGAGAATAAACTTGCTTAAGCAAACATACCCTAGAAGTTTGCTGGAGGTCAGCAGAGGTTAGCAAAATGGCCTGCGCCTGCCAGTTCTTATCTTACAACTCAGAACAAAACAGCATTTGCAGTTGGGAGAATGCTGATATTTTAGCCATTTCCCATTTGAAATTCAGTTAGTAGAATTTCTCAAATGGATCAGATGGTTCGATCTAAAGTCCTCTGGCAGGAAAATATTACAAATGTCAATTAGTCATCATGAAAGAAAAGACTAGACCTGTAATAAATTCTTCTGCATACATTCACCCTGCCACGGAGTGATGCTGGGCACAATGGCTGAGTGTGTGCACTATGTTTGTGAGAAACCAGAAGGGAAGGAGCCTTGTGAGCCAATGCTTGAACACTGCTATGCTGGGTGTGGAGATGTGGTTAGCATGGGTATAGTGGCCATGGGTAAGTGTTCATCAAACTGGACAGGACAAATTAATAATATTCAAAAGATCTCAACAGAAAAAAAATAGCACCTGAAATCAGGACCTACCAGTGGATGGATCAAACTTTCCAAATTTCTCTATATTTAAGGCTGCAAAATAGACTTCTTTGAAATAAGAAAATTCCTACTGTTCATGGTAAATTTGTGAAGGGTATTACAAATACAAGAGCCTATATTAGCATATAGGAGACTGCATCAGAGAGCGGGACAATGAATAAGGATGACAGAAGAAGAATCAATGCCTTTGAGCTGTGGTGCAAGTAAGTATATTGATTATACCATGGACTGCCAAGAGAACAAATGGGTTTGTCCTAGAGAGGGTAAAGCCAGGTTCTTCTCTGGAGGCAAAGAATTTGAAACTTCATCTCACATACTTTGGGAATGTTGTGTGGAGGGACCAGTCCTTGGAGAAGGAAGAAGTCCTTAGAAGGGTGGAGGATCCTCACAGAAAAGGAAGACCCTGGATTGAGATGGATTGACACAATGACTGTGACAATGAAATCAAGTGCGTCAGTGTTGGTGAGGTTGGCTTAATAGGGCAAAGTTCAGATCCTATGTCTTTCACTATGAGACATAGCAGACTAGATGGCACATAACAACAATAACAAGTGGCCTAGACTAATCAACAACCTATGTTATGCAGGTGACATAGTCTTGCTTGCTGAAAGTGAAGAGGACTTAAGAAGCTCTGGTGGTCTAGTGGCAAGAAGCTACACTGCAATCCCAGAGGTACATGGTTCAAATCCACCAAGTGCTCTGCTGGAGAAGGAGGGGCAATCTCCTCTTGTACCAGTCAGATCTGATTTGATGGTATACATACAAAAATTAATTTTAAAAAAATTTAAAAAAAGAAAGTGAGGAGGACTTGAAACACTTACTAGATAAGATCAAAGACTCTAGTCTTCATGCTGATTACCTCTCAACTCAAGAAGATAGAAATCCTCACAACTGGGCCAATAGGCAACAGCATGATAGATGAAGAAAAGATTGAAATTGTCAATGATTTCATCTTACTTGGATCCACATTCAACCTCTTCAGTACCATCTGTCTGGAGATCAAGAGACATGTTGCGCTGGGAAAATCTGCAGTCAGGGACCCCTCCAATGTACTGGAGAACAATGATGTCACTCTAAAGACTTAGGTGTGCTTGATTCGAGCCATAGTCTTTCCAATTAGCTGCTAAGCATCTGAAAGTTGGACATTGAATAAGGATATTAGAAAAAGAATCGATGCCTTTGAGTTCTGGTGTTGGAGAAGAGTATTGGCTATCACGTGGACTGCCAAAAGAACAAACAGATAAGTCTTGAAGAAAGTGCAGCTAAAGTTCTTTGTAGAGGAAAGGATGGCAAAGCTTCATCTCCCACGCTTTGGGCATGTTGTTAGAGGGGCTATTCCTTGGAAAGGGATATCATGTTTGGAAGGATGGAGAGTCAGCAAAAGAAAGGAAGACTGTCCATAAGATGGACTGACCCCATGACTGCAGCAATGGGCTCAGGTGTGACAGAGATGAGGAGGATGACACTGGATAGAACAAGATTCAGATCTGTTGTCATAGGGTTGTGAGTCATACTCGACTCAATGACACCCAAGAACAATAATAACAACAGTGTCCTAGTGAATAAGGAGCTGCAAGTGGTTCAAATCCTCCAGGGGCTCTATGGAAGAAAGATGGGAAGAAATCTCCTGTGTACTGACAGCCTCAAAAATCAGCAGAGTGAGCTATGAGTTGGTTCCAACATGGCAGCAATGCAGCTGAGGTTTTGGGGGCTTGATAGTTGTCATTTCCTTTTTTAAAAAGAAGAGATTAGTACGTAGGGATTAAAATTACTTAATTAGTTATGAAAAAGAACCAAATTGATAGCCCAAGCATGTTGCTGTTAGGTGTTGTTCAGCTGGTTCCAAATCATCCCAACTCCACACGTAACAGACTGAT